AGCGCTCCTTCAAAAATGGTGCTGCTGCCCCATGATCCCCAGAGCAAATTCCAAGCGTGCGACTGGCGGGGGTGGTAGAGCAAGCAGTCGGTGTGGTGGTGTTTTTTACAGGACTTCAGCCGTTGCTAGGGTCGCTGCTGCTGCCGCCGCTGCCTGCGAGCATCCCGTCCAGCCGCGCCGCCAGCTGCCCCCGCCCCTCGCTCAGCATAAACATCAAGATGCCTGCGGGTGGGGGTTGGATGTTGCGGGAGGGGGTGGGGGGTGGAGTCAGGGTCGGGTGAGATGGGGGTTGGGAGAGGGAGGAGGTTGCTGCACAACACACAGGGCGCAGGGCTCCCCGAGCACACGCAGCACGCAGCACGCAGCACGGAGCGCGCAGGCCCCCGCCTCACCTCCCGCGACGCTGACGTTGAGGCTCTCCATCCGCCCCGGCGCCATGGGGACGGCCACGCGCCGGCAGCGCCGCAGCGCCGTCGCCGAAAGGCCCTGGCCCTCGCTGCCCAGCACCAGCCCGACGCAGCCCCCCCGCGCAACCGCCCCCGCCGCCGCCGCCCCGCCGTCGCCCTGCCGCTGCCGCCGCTGCCGCCCGGGGCCGCCGCCGCGGGCGTCGGGGCCCGCCCGTTCGGCTCCCCCTGCTGCCTCCCCGGCTTCCGCGCCTCCGCCCTCCTCCTCTTCCGGCTCTGCCGCCAGCAGCGCCAGCCCCGCGTCCGCCGCGAGCGCCTCGAGCTCCCCCCACGACGCCTCGGCGAGCGGCAGGCGCAGCGCCGCGCCGCGGCTGGCGCGGAGGGCCTTTTCGTTGAAGGGGTCGCAGCAGCCGGGGAGGAGGAGCACGGCGTCCCTGTTGGCAGCGGCGGGGGGTGGTGGGGGGGATTGCGTGGGGGTGCTGCGGTGCGTGCCGGGAGGTGCGTTGCGATTGCGAGGGGCGCGGCCGGCAGCAACAGCGGGCGCGGCCCGGGGCGCGGCGCGCTGCACAATGCTCCGCCGCGCGACCGCGCAGCGCCGGCCTCCCGCCGCCGGCGGCGGGAGGGCTCACCATCCGAACGCGAGCGCGCAGCGCAGCAGGGTGCCGAGGTTTCCGGGGTCCTGCACCGCCTCCAGCACCAGCAGCCGCCGCAGGGCCGCGGGCGCCTCTGCTCGCCGCTGCTGCTGCCCCTGCTGCTGCCCCTGCTGCTCCTGCTGCTGCTGCTGCTCCTCGTCCTGCTTCCGCTGTTCCTCGTCCCCCTGCTGCTGCGCCGGCGGCGCGGTATGCGCGGGCGCCTCCCCCGCCGCCGCCGCCGCCGCCGCGGGCAGCCCAAACGCGGCGCGCAGCGCCCCGACGGGCAGCGGCCCCTGCGCCGCCACGTCCAGCTCGACAATGGCGTCCGAGGCGGCCACCGTTTCCAGTCCGCTTATCTTTTTCGCCACCGCCTCGCTGACGCGCACCACCCGGCGCGGCGCCAGGCCGTCCGGCAGCGGCGAGGGCGCGCCGGGCTGCAGCAGGAGCGCGTCGACGCGCAGCGGCGCGCCGGCGGCGGCGAGCTCGCGCAGCACGGTCGAGCCCACGAGCAGGAGGCGGCCCCGCTCCCGCCGGTAGCGCGCCCGCTCGCGCAGCTTGACGCAGTGCTTTACGTACGCGTTGGCCGTGCTCGTGATGGTCTCCTCGGGAGGCGGCGGCGGCGCGCGGCCGGCGGGCGCGGCGCCAGCGGCGGCGGCGGCGGCGGCGACGGCGACGGCCGGGCCGTGGACCGGCGCCGGGCGGCCGCCGGCCGCGGCGGCGCCGCTGCAGAGCCGCGGTCGCACCGAGGTCCAGCAAGCATTCGCGGCCCGTGCGGGGTGTGGCCAGCCCAAGCACAGGCCCCAGGCCGCGGCCTGGTGTTGGGCGAGTGCCACGCCCCTCATTTGACGGGTGGGGTTGCAGGGTCTGTATGCGTTATTTGCGCTTGTTAACGCCCAGAAACCTGTGACTCCCTGTCCCACCGACTCCCATCGCTGTCGAGGCCCTCCAGAAAGCGCACCCCCGGCCCCCAGGCCGGCCCCATGGAGGCGCTGGGGCAATTGCAGCGCTCTGGGAGGCCTCTCACGGCGCGCGCCGGCCTCGCGCGCCCCAATGGAGCCCCGGCGGTGGCACCACGCGCCGCTGCGCCGCGGCGCGCCGCCGCCGCCACCCCAGCCCCAGGCCCAGCCTGCGCGGCCGCGGCCGCCGCGCCCCCCGGCCCGTCGGTGCACATGACGAGCCACACCGACAGCCGCCCCTCCCAGGCGCAGGTGCGGGGGCGATGCCGGCCTCGCGGCGCGGCGCCGGCTCGCCGCCTCTCAGCTCCTGACCCAGCGCGGCCGCGCGCCGACCACCCCGCGCCCCGACCGCGCCCGCCCACAACACCGCCCCGGCCCGCAAACGCCCGCACCCCCTTAAACCCCCCGCAGAACGTCCTGGACCGCTGCTCCGCCGCCCTCGCCGAGTTCCGCGCCCACAAGGCCGCGCTCTCAGGCTGGCTCGCCGCCTTCGCCGCCGCCAACGGCGGCCGCCGGCCCAGCCTGCTCGACGCGCAGGCGGCCGGCGACGCGCCGCTGGTGGCGCGGTTCCAGCAGTACCTCGCCGCGCGGCGGCGGCTGATGGCCGAGCTGCCGCTGCTGCGGTCTGAGTACGAAGCCGCCCTCGCGGCAGACGCGCAACGCCGCCCCGGCAGCGGCGGCGGGCACCGGCCGGCGGGCGCCGCGTCGGGGGTGCCCGGCGGCAACGCCAACGTGGCGGCGGCGCGGACGCCGTCGGAGGCGGCGCGGCAGTGGGCGGCGGCGGCGCAGTACCGGCGCAGCCACGCGCCGGCCGCGCCTGCGGCGGCTGCGGCTGCCGGGGACGCTGCGGCGGCGGGGGCGCAGCAGCCAGGCGAGCCGCCGGCGTCGGCGACTGCGGCGGCCAGCAGCAGCGCCGGCGCCGGCGGCAGCAGCGGCGCCGGCAGCAGCGGGCCCGAGCGCGCGGCGCTCAGCATTGTCGGCGCAGCCGCGGACGGCGGCGGCACGAGCGGCGCCCTTGCCGCCGCCGCGGCAGCAGTGGTGGCGGGGGGCCCTGAGGAGTTGGGGCAGCTCGCGGAGAAAGCCTCCCTCGCGGGCAGCGGCGGCGACCCCGCCTCGCGCATCCGCGCCGCCGCGCTGGCTGCGCTGCAGTACAAAACGCGCGGCGGCGGCGGCGGCGGCGGCGGCGCCGGGGCCGCGGGCGCGTCCCAGGCGCGGCCGTCGGGCTCGGCGAGCGCGGTGCTGCAGGCCGCCGTGCCGCCGCCGCCGGCGGAGGGGCAGCCGGCGGTCATCGGCGCCGTCGAGACGGCGCGGTTTGACGTTTACGGCGGCCGCAAGCGCCGGGACCTCGATTCTGATGTGCGGCTGGATTTGGTGATGGGCGGCGGGGGGCTGGACGAAATTGGCGGCGGGCTGCCGGCAGGCGGCGGCGGCGGCGGCGGCGGCGGCGCGGCCGAGGCGCCGGCGGAGCAGCCGCAGCCGCAGCAGGGGCAGGCGCAGGCACAGGCGCCCGAGCCGCGGGCGGGCGCCGATGGCGCCGCGGCGCCGCAGGGCGCGCTGCCGCTGCTGACCTGACTGAGCAGAGGGAGTCCCTTTGCTTTGCTTTGTGCGCCTCGCCCTCTGCGGGCGCCGTGTGAAGAGCCTGTTGTTGTGTCGTGCGTTGAACAGCGTGTAAAGTCGCGAGGAGGGACGGCGAGGTTGCGGGCCGGCGTTGGCGCAAGTGCAGGGGCAGGCTGCTGCGACGAACGTGGTGCGGAGGGTCAAGGAAAACGAGCAGTCAACCGCCGCACGGCAGGCGGTCAACGCCACCGGCGCCTGCGAGGCGCGGATGGCAACACCACAACAAAACCCACACGCAATGATAGCGCACTAATCCCCGCGTCGCACGGCCCCTGCAAGGGGCCGGTGCGGACGGCGGGCGCCTAAAAATGATTATTTGATGGTTACTCCGCCCACGGCATCGTGGGATCCTATACCGGGCCGCATTTTTCAACCTCCCGCCCGCCGCCCGGTCCGGCGGCCTAAAAATTTGATTTGATGGTTACTCCGCCCACGGCATCGTGGGATCCTATACCGGGCTGCCTTTTTCAACCTCCCGCCCGCCGCCCGGTCCGGCGGTGCGTCGGGTGCACAAGCAAGCATCACCNAGCGCACTAATCCCCGCGTCGCACGGCCCCTGCAAGGGGCCGGTGCGGACGGCGGGCGCCGAGTTTGGCCGCTCGGCAGCGGGCGCGCGCCGTGCGGGGCGCGCGCCACGCCCCCCGGCCGGCATGTGCTTGCCGGGGCTGTAGGCGCAAATAATTCGCGATGCGATGATTTGTTACTCCGCCTGCGGCATCGCAGGATCCTGCAGCCACCGTGTTCCAACCAGGGTCAAGGAAAACGAGCAGTCAACCGCCGCATGGCAGGCGGTCAACACCACCGGCGCCTGCGAGGCGCGGATGGCAACACCACAACAAAACCCACGCGCAATGATAGCGCACTAATCCCCGCGTCGCACGGCCCCTGCGCAATTTTTTTTTGATTTGATGGTTACTCCGCCCACGGCATCGTGGGATCCTATACCGGGCCGCCTTTTTCAACCTCCCGCCCGCCGCCCGGTCCGGCGGTGCGTCGGGTGCACAAGCAAGCATCACCGCATCAGCGGATGGGCAAGCAAACGGCGTGTGGGGCAGTCCAAAAAAAAGACCCGCGGCCAACCGCCGCAAAGGCCAAAAACCAACCGCCCCACCCTTCAGCGCGCGGCTTTCCCCCGTCCCGCGCCGCAGCGCGCGCCGGCGGGGGCAAGCCACAGACGCCGAGAAACGAAAGCGCGCGCGCGAGGAAGCCAAAGCAACTGCAGGCACAATAGACCATGGGGCAGTGTCGCCAACTGGGTCGCCCTACACAGCCGCCGCAAACCGCCCCAAGCGCGCGCCTCCAACACGGCGCCTCCAAAAAATTTGCTAAACCCTGTTGTGTCATATAATTAATATATGCCTGCTGGCTGGCATCAATTCGTGACCTAGCAAGCGCTCGTAGTCTAGGGGTATGATAGGTCCCTGCCACGGACCAGGCCCGGGTTCGAGTCCCGGCGAGCGCATTCGTTTTTTGATTCTTTTGCAGCTCTCCTTTCCTGCCTGCACCGCTGCTCGCTCTCCCTTTCTGCTGGAAGCGTGCCGCGCTGATGCGTTGTTACATTATGAGTGATTTGGGGTGTCTCACAACACCACATGGGCACGGGCGCGCGCGCATGCACGCGGGGGACGCAATGACGGGGTCTTGTTGCAGAGTTTGTCCAACAGCGTGCAAATGCATTGCATAGAACAGTTGCAGACGACACACGCGGGAGCAAAAGAACAGCAGAGGAGCGGTAATGTGCGCGCAGTCAACGCACATCAGCCATGTCAACGAGAAGGAGCGCTGTCGCACTCATTTGCAGCGCCCCGCTTTTGCCGGCACACCGCTGCCCTCAAGCCTCCCGGTCTGGAGCCACCGCGACGCCCGCGCCCGCGGCGGCGGTGGTGCCGTTGCCGTCGCCGCTGCCACCTTGGCCGCCGCCGCCGCCACCGCTGGCTGCGCCGCCGCCGCTGCCGTCCTCGCCAACCCCGGCGCCCCCCCAGTCGTCTTCGTCCTCCTCATCGACGCTGGGGCCGAGGCGGCTGGGCGGCGGGGCCGCCGCGGGCTCGGCGGCCGCGCCCTGCAGGGGGAAGCTTCTCAAGCCGTCGCCGGCGTCGTCGGCCGCGCCCTGCAGGGGGAAGCTGGATATGGCTGCCGCCGCGGCGCCCCGCCGCTGGCGCAGCGCGCCGCGCGCATGCGCCGCCGCGGCCGCGGCCATGGCGCTCGATAGCCGCGATGCGTCGTCGCCGCCGCCGCTGCCGCCACCGGTGCCATGTTCCGTGGCGGGAGTGGGAGGGGCCACCGCCGCCGCCGCAGCGGCGGTCGCAGCAGCGGCCACGGCGGCCGGCCCGCCGCCGCCGGGGCCCGCGGGCTGCGGCTGAGCAGCGCCGGTGCCGCCGCCCGCGCCGCCAGGCCCCTCCGTGGCCGAGCCGCCCTGCTGCTGCTCCGGCCGCTGCTGGCCGCTCGCCTTCTGTTGCTTCCCCCCCTGCTGCTCCCCATCCCTGCGCTGGCCCTCGCCAACCTTGTCCCACCACCCTGATGACAGCGGCGCCGCCTTGGCGGCGGCGGCGCCGCCGCCCCCCCACCGGCTGCCGTCGATGCCCAGGCCGCCCAGCGCGGAGAGCAGGGCCTGCTGCAGCTCAAAGCCCCCGCTGGCGCTGCCGCCGCTGCGGGGCGCGCCGCCGAGGGGCAGCGCGCCGCGGCTGGGCGTGCGCAGCCCGCTGGGCGAGCCGCCGTCGGACTTGCCGCCTGGAGCCGCAGCCGGCTTGGGCGCCGCGTCGGCGGCCGCGTCCGCGGGCGCGGTCAGGGCCTTGGGCTGCTTCTGCGGCTGCGCCCGCTCCTCCCCGCCCGCCCGCCCGCCGCGGCGGCGGTCGAGCCAGCCGGTGGCCTGCTGCAGCCACTTGTTCGTCGCCGCCGCCGCCTGCTGCGCCTGCTCGCTGACCTGGCCGCGCAGCCCCTCCTGAGACTCCTGCACGCGCCCCACCAGCTGCCCCAGCCAAACGCCGTCGACGGCGAGGCCCGAGATCACGGCGCTCACCGCCGCGCCCGCGTTGCCGCCGCTGCGCGCCAGGCCGCCCGCCGCCTGCGGGCCCACGGGGCCCGGCGCCGCCGCGGGCGTGCCCTTGCCCGCGGCCGTGGCCGCGGCCGTGGCGCCCTCGGCGGAGGCCCCCACGCTGTCTGCGGAGGAGGTCGTTGCGGCCGCGGCCGCGGCGGCGGCGGCGCTCCTGGGCGGCGGCAGTATGATGTCGGCCGGCTCGCAGGCGGGCAGCCGCGTCAGGCGCACCAGAATGTGGCCCCCCTCCTGCGGTGCAGCAGCGTGTGGCGTTGGCGGCGGGGGTTGGTTATCAAAGCGAGACTCAACAGCCCCCCAAATGAGCACCACCCCGCACAGTGCGCAAGGCACAACTCGCCGGCCCAAACCCCACACCCTAAATCCACCGGACCAAACCCCAAACCCCAAAGGCTCACCTTGTTGAGCTTGAGCCAGCCCTCCCAGGAGCCATTATCCGACAGCGCCAGCCGCTGCGCCACGTCCACCTCCACAGACCCCATAACCTCGTCGCCCGGCGCCGCGTCGAGGTCGCAGCACTCTATCTGGAGCGAGTAGTCCAGCCAGCGGGGGCGGCGCGGGCCGGGGGCGCCCGGCGGCGGCGGCGGCTCTGGGGCGTAGACAAACGCCGCCCGCGCCATCAAGTCCGCCCCGTCAGCGCCCGCCGCCTCCGCGCCGCCGCCGCCGCCGCTGGCGCCGCCGCCGCCGCCGGGCCGCGCGCCGCCGGGCCGCGCGGGCGGCGGCGGCGCGCGCCGCCGCAGGTTGAGGCGCCCCGCGCGGCTGCGGCGGCGGGCGGCGAGCGGCGAGGTGTCGCCCACGACTGAGGCGCCCTGGTAGCTTATCCGGTACACGGGCTGGGCGTCGGTGTCATCGGAGTCCATTGATGACAGCGGCAGCTGCAGGCGCGAAGACAGCACCTGCGAGCGTCGGGGCGGCCGCGGCGGGCGCGTGAGCGGGCCGGCGCACGCTTTCAAACCAGGCTGGACCGGCCTGCGGACGCCCACTCCAGCAGGCAGGTCCCCTCACAGCCTGCACAACACCAAATGGCGCAGCCCCGCCCCCCTCCAAACCCCCGCCGCGGCAACCCAAAGCAGCAGGCCCGCACGCGCCTCCGCCCCTCGGCCACCCCTTCCCGCACCTCAACGAGCAGCGCCTCCCTGCTCGCGCCGCCCAGCGCGCCGCAGAAAAAGTCGGCCGCCTCCTGCGCGTCCGCCTCCTCGGGCCGGCCCGCCACGACGGCCAGCCGCACGCGCACCTCCCCGCCCTCGCCGCCGCCGAGGGCGTACCATCGGTCCTGCACCGCCCCCTCCGTAGTAAGGTCGAGGTTGATGGCGGTACCGCCGAAGTACTCGCGCCGCCCGGGCAGGCCGTCAGACGACGCGAGGCTCGCGACGCTCGCGCCCGTCGCTGCGGCGGCCGCCGCGTCCGCGCCGGCGGGCGGCGCGGACCACGCCTCGAGGCGCACGCGGCGGGTGAGCATGCTGGAGTTTTCTGCGAACGCAAAGGGCTCTAGGAAGACGGGGCTTGGCGTGCCGTAGGCGACGGCGGTGGCGTAGGCCGCCTGGTCGTACCGGAGCTGCACAAACGGGTTGGCCGGCGGCGGGCGGCGTGGCGCGGGCGCGCCGGGCGCGGGGGGAGGGCCGCCGAGGTTGCGGGCTGCGAAAGGGGCGGGCGGGCGGCGACGGGGGCGGCGGGGTTTGGCCGGGTTGGCGCCGCGGCGGAAGCTGGGGGTGGCGCGTTTGAGGGGGCGTAGGCAAGCCCACAAAAAGAAATCGGGACGGGATGGCAGCAAGCGCGCTCAAGCGGCATGAAAAAGGGCCCTTGAGGCCCTTTCTTTGGCCTCGAAGGCCCTTTCGCCCCCCCTCACCTTCCACGATCTGCAGTACGACGGTGTGGGGCCCCGATGAGCGGTACGCCGCCGGCACCAGCGGCTGCTTGTAGGTCCAGGGCTCAACGCTCACGCCGAGCCGCACCTCTGCCACGCCGCCGACGGCGTCGCCTGCGGGGAGGTTTTTTTTTGGAATGGGGTGGGTTTTGCGAGGCGGGGCCGTTGCGCGGCCGCAGTTCCCTGGCTGGCGCTGCGCGTGTCAAGCCCGAGGCAAAGCAGAGGGCAAGGGGCCTGCCACTCGCCAGGCGCAGCGGATGCGCGCGCTGCGGCGCAGGGCCGGCGCGCCGCCCGCACCTTCAAACGGCAGCGACACGCGCCACGGCCGGTCGCTCGGCCCCCACCGCCGCGCCAGCGCCTCGCCGTTGCGCTGGTGGCCCCAGAAGAGGGTCGAGCCGTCCATCGACGCAGACACCCACAGCAGCGTGCTGCCCAGCACGCGGCCGCCGGCGCTGAGGTCCCGCAGCTGGGGGGGGGTGAGCCGGTTTTGAAAGGTTTGTTGTGCGTGCTGTTGTGTGTGCTGTTTGTGCATAGTGTGTGTTTGTGGGGTTGCATGCGGAGCCCTGGCCGCATGCCAAGCGGGAGCGCTCCTCTCATACTGCCACCCTTCCTTGATCCCTGGGCCTCGGACCAAGGAGCGGTTGCTGCCCCCCAAACAGCCAGCCCCCTGGCCAGGAGGCCCCTAACCCCCTTCGGCCCCCCCCACCTCTATCCGAATCATGCCCTCCTTCCTGGGAAGCTCCACTTTGACCGTCTCCCGCACCGCCACCGCCTTTGACCCCGGCGACACCTCCAGCGGCCGCGCCGTCGCGCCGCGCTGGCGGCTTATAGTCTCGACGCACACCACCCCCAGCTGCACCGGCGCGCGGCGGCGGCCGAGGGTGCGCGGCAGGCCGGCGAGGGACTCAACGTGAAGGTTGACCGTGGTGGCGACGGCCTGGGGGTTATTCGGCGGGAAGCGGCGGGGTTGGAGAAGGCGAGGCGAGGAGCCTGTTGGCCCGCTGTGGGGGTGGGCCCACCCCACCCGTGCTGCGAGGTGCCCCGCGGCGGGTCCAGCGCGGAGTGTGACACGGCAAAACCCCCGGCGGTTGCTTCAAAAGACACCAAGGCCACCCAAAGCCCCCCTCCCTCCCACCTCCTCCACCCTGAACTCGTAGTCCAGGGGCACCACCCCCCTCCTGGGCTCGACCAGCAGCTCCTGGATGTTGGAGGCAACAATGCCCTGGAGGCGCAGCGCCGGTCGTTGCGGGAAGGGAAGGAAAGGGAGGCGGCGGGGTGAGCGCATGGGGGCGTTTTTGCATGCGCATGTGCATGCGCACGCGCCTCATGCACGTGCACGCGCGCAGGAGCAGCCTCCCTTGTGTGCTGCGCCTCCATGCCATCAGAAGCCGGCTGCGCCGCCCGAGGCACGCGCATGCGAGCCCCCCCTGACCCAGCCAGGCCACCCACCTGGATGAACTGAAACTGCGACAGGTCGGCGCCGCCGATGGGCCCCTTGACCGCGAGCTTGACGTTGACCGAGGGCGCCTGCTTGAAGGCCCAAAGCAGC